TCGTTCTGGTTGGCTCCGTAGCTTTGAGGAAAGCCCCCGGGCCCCTCGTTCTCCAGCACAGGAGCCTCTCCCCGGTACCCGGGCTTCTCCCGGCTGACCGCCGCGTTTCAGGTGTGCTGTAAACAGCGACCGGCCCAGCCGCCTCATCCGCTCGGGGTGCCGGCTGCTAGAAACAAGCACTCGTGGTACAGTGAAGTACCTGATGGCGGCCCACGTAAGAGGTGAAATGTCTGCCTCGTTGTACTGTCCTAACAAGAGAAAAGAAACCTGGCTTTTTTTATTACTATTCTTTAAAATGGGGGTAATGATTCGTACCAATTCTTGAAGCCTTATGTGGGAATGAGGTTGTTGAGGTTACTGCTTTAGTGGTGTGCGTGCTTGAATGGATCATTTCCTAGCCTGTTACAGTTTTTGTTGCATCTTTTTTTTTTAAAACAACTTAAACTTTAAGCTACTTTTAAAATGCTGTGCTGTAAACTGCACCAGTTCAGATGTTGAATAGTGGAGTAGTTCAGATAGTAGAGACTTGGAGCATTTTTGTTGTGTCATTTAACCAGACATGACAAAATAGTATCCCTACTTCTTAGTGTCTGTTAAACACATGAGTTTCTTGGATGCAAGCTGCTGTGTGATTGGAAATGGTAATTTTAAAATAACATAGAACTTAGATGAAACTCTGGGATTGCTTAGTCCTTTGCTTGATTAACTAATAAAAGTGCTTCTGTTGGTTATATTGACCCATTAATATCAAAGTAGAACTTTGACATTTCATACATGTTTAGCACATGTCTCAGATAATACACTTTTAAGGGATTCTGTCCAAAATAGATGTTCTAATGAGTATATGTGCTGGTTTAAGTAACAAGCATGACTTAATGGTCTTAATCATTGTTCCTCCATTAATACAGAAGCTTTGTAAAATCCTTTAGAACTGACAGGAAGCAGCTAAATGAACTTTTTTTTTTTATCCGCAGTGTGAAAAAAATGGAGATGTCAAGAAGAGAAGGTCAAATCAGGCAGATATCCCCGATAATCTTCGTCAAGAAGCAGAAACATGCTATCGGCTTAGACTGCCTGAAGACTTCTATCAGTTTTGGAAGTTTTGTGAGGAACTAGATCCTGAGAAACCAAGTGGTGGGTTTTTAAATTTTTCTTTTTTCCTTTTCTAACTTTCACTCTCAAAAACAGCCTGAAGGCAGGCAAGCTGGAGGTGGTCAGATGCATTCTAATGCTGCTTCAGTTTTCAGTTCAGATGCAGGATATTTCCATGAGTGTAAACAAGAATACTGGACATAATCACAGAAGATGTCAGTACACTTCAAGCTTTCTAAAATGTAATTACTTAAATCATGTAATGCAAAGGGACTAAATGTTGTCTAAAATCTGCCTTTCTTGCAAATACATTTTAAATGTTTAGTATGGAACTCAAGTTTCCTCATATCAATTCAGGTTTCAGCTTCCCCAAATTTATTATAAAACAGAACGTGGCATCCCTAGGTGCTCTAGAAATGAGAGTTTCTTTCAGAATCATAGAATAGTTTGGGTTGGAAGGGACCTTTAAAGGTCATCTAGTCCAACCCCCCTGCAATGAGCAGGGACATTCCCAACTAGATCAGGTTGCTCAGAGCCCCGTCCAGCCTGACCTGGAATGTTTCCAGGGATGGGGCATCTACCATCTCTTTGGGCAACCTGTGCCAGTGTTTCACCACCCTCATGGTAAGATTTCTTCCTTATATCTAGTCTGAATCTATCTTCTTTTAGTTTAAAACCATTATCCCTTGTCCTGTCGCAACAGGCCCTACTAAAAAGTCTGTCCCCATCTTTCTTATAGGCCCCCTTAAGTACTGATAGGCTGCAAGAAGGTGTTCCCGGAGCCTTCTCTTCTCTAGGCTGAACAACCCCAACTCCCTCAGCTTTTCTTCACAGGAGAGGTGTTCCATCCCCCTGATCATTTTCTTGGCCCTCTTCTGGACCCACTCCAACAGGTCCGTGTCTTTCTTCTGCTGAAAGCTCCAGAGCTGAAGGCAGTACTCCAGGTGGGGTCTCACCAGAGCAGAGTAGAGGGGCAGAATCATCTCCCTCGACCTGCTGGCCACACTCCTTTTGATGCAGCCCAGGATATGGTTGGCCGCCTGGGCTGCGAGCGCACATTGCTGGCTCACGTCCAGCTTTTCATCCACCAGTACCCCCAAGTCCTTCTCGGCAGGGCTGCTCTCAATCCCTTCAGCCCCCAGCCTGGATTGTTACTGGGGGTTGCCCCGACCCAGGTGCAGGACCTTGCACTTGGCCTTGTTAAACCTCATGAGGTTCACACAGGCCCACTTCTCAAGCTTGTCCAGGTCCCTCTGGATGACATCCCGTCCCTCTGGTGTGTTGACTGTACCACTGAGCTTGGTGTTGTCTGCAAACGTGCTGAGGGTGCACTTGATCCTGCTGCCTATGTCATTGATGAAGATATTAAACAGTACCAGTCCTAATACGGACCCCTGAGGGACACCGCTCATCACTGATCTCCACCTGAACATTGAGCTGTTGACCACTACTTCTTATGAGAAGCGTAATAGCTTTCATTCAAGAGTTAGGTTACCTGAATAAAAGAATGTCTCAGCTTTCCTTGTCTGGTAAACAGTGTTTGAGTGTTTGGATTTATGGAAGCTTTTGATACCTGAGTGACAGGAACTTCTTGGTTTAGATAATGCACCCACCAGAAAGTAAACTGGTTCATGCTTTGCTTTTCAGATGCACTTGTGTCAAGTGTTGGACTTACGCTGGTTGGACCATATGATATTCTTGCTGGAAAACACAAAAAAGCAAAATCAACAGATCTGGACTTCAATCTTCATTGGAGATTCTTCTATGATCCCCCAGAATTCCAGACTATACTTGTCGGGGATAGCAAAACACAGTATCACATGGGATATTTCAGGTATTTTATTTAAAATGTGCTCTTGCTGGACTATAATTATGTGTAGCTTTTTCTCCTCTGTTTTCCACAAGACAGAATTTGAGAACCGTGTGCTATCACCAAACGAGAATCTTTCCCTTCCATAATAGGATATTAACACGAGTTGATATCTTTTATTTAAAAAGATCAAAGATATTGAAGACTAGATTTAGATATTTATTAAACTACCTCTCCCAACCCTCCAGAGCACTTTCACTTATTAATCTTTAAGTTTTGCCATGATACTTAGAAGAAAAAGTCAAGCCTTAATGAAATAAAGGGAACGTGTATTCTCTCTGCATGTATTGATACAAGCTCCTTTGAAAGCCGTGCTGTAAGATTTTGGAGCTTTATATCTAAGGGCGTTTCTTGTTAGGCTTCTGAAGGAGATCGCAGCATGGTGAGGCAAATTAAATTTACTTTGAAGTAGGAGAGGTGGACACAGCTTGCCTATTTGTGTGTACTTTTTCATAAATAGGGATGTGCCAGATGAGCTTCCAGTGTGGGTTGGTGCAAATGAAGCTAAGAAGGGCTGTGTGATTTCACAAGTTGGTGATAACGTCTTTGCCGCAGTCAAGTAAGGTTCATATTTACTTCTATTTATAAAAAGTAGAGTAGAAGAGAAACTATTAATCGGGAGATGCGACGTGGAATAATGCAGCTAACTTTCATATCTTTCTTTCTCAAGAAGTCCTCACTTATTTTCTGTTCCTGCTAGCAAGTTTAATGGTACTCTTAAAAGCCTTAATAGGCTTCTTGCCAGTGTTTTCCTTTTACAGGTAAAATAGATAAGTGTTAATTATCTCATTCTTTAAATATATTGGAAGGGATAGGCTCTACAGGAAAAGAAATGCCCACTGGGTGTGTTAAAATACTTCATAAGTAAAGAAGGGGCATCTCAAACAGTGGTGATGGAAATCTGAATATCATACTAAATGAGTAGCATCTAGCTCTTGTTCTTGCCTACATAAAAGTATATTATTTTTGTATGTAACGGGTAACTACAAGAAGTACTGTTTCTGAGCTGGGGCAGGATAACTTTTATATGGATATGTAATTCAATATGATTCATGAAGCTTTACACAGTCCTGCATCATGAATGTAAATAACAGATTTCATGACCTGGCAGTTAAAAACGGAAAGCTCTCTAAGGACAGACGCGTGTCAGTAAGTGAAAGCACACTGAAGAAGAGCTTCTGCAAAAGAACCCTTGTGTAGTGCACAGTTAAACGAGGACACTTGTTCTGAAAGCACCATGGTGAAACTCATAAACATGTATTTATGTGCATGACTTGAATGACAAATAGTGTATATGGCACTGAAGCAGCAAACTGAATTCTTAAGATAGAAAGATGAACAGCTACCGAGTCCAGGAGAATCTTCGGCACCTGCAGATTGCATAAAAATGTATTTGCATTACAATATAGTTTTTCTTTCTTGTTGTTCAGAGGCTTGCATTCCCAAGTCTGTGTGTATAAATAAACCCATGACTGCTAATCTTCATTATAAGATTTGGAGGTTTAGTGATTAGGCGGCTATTCACTTGTTTGTTTTCTGTTAAGCTCTTTTAAGATGTGTTTCTTCTGTTTGCAGATTATTTTTGTCAAAAAAACTTAAGGAAGTGACCGATAAAAAGAAAAACACTATTTTGAAAGACATAGATGAAAAACTAACGAAAACAGCAAAAGAACTGGGTTATTCTCTGGAACAAAAAACTGTGAAGATGAAACAGAGAGATAAGAAAGTATGACTTTCCTGATCCACTGGAGAGAACTAAGTTCTGTTAAACTTTTTTCATTTACTTGCTTGTTTATTTTTTTATTTTTTTTCTCTAGTCAGTAAAGATGCTTCATTTAGGAATTTCCAGAGCTCATCAGCTCTCTCTATAAAACTTCAGGAGAGGGAAAATTAATACAAGTGTGTTCCAAAGAACAGGATTAAATCAAAACACATTACTCTTGTAAACTGTATCTTGACATTCAATTAAAGAAAAAAAAACCAACAAAACAGTCAGGGAAATAGCCTAAAAGCAAAAACAAATGGGGAGCATGGAGAAAACTGTTTCAAAGTGAAGATTCATGTAAACAGTTGCGTTGGATCTATTGGAAACGGGAACATTAAGGATGATAGTAATAGAGGATTAGTAATAGACTTTTTCACAGACCTATCAGAAATAATTATGGTAAGGAGTGACTAAGCAAATGTAGTACAGTGCTACACAAGTGACTACAAGGACTCCTAGATTTCAGAACTTGGCTGAAATGGAGTTTCCAGTTATTTTAAACTTCAGTACTTAAAAGTAACTGCTATATACTTTAAGTTGATGTCCTGGAGCCTGGACACTATATGAGGTTTGACCACCAGCAGTCAGGTGTTAATGTTGTTCAGTGAGGTGAGTGGTTTTATGTCACAGTATTGACTTAGGGTGCTATATTCAATTTCCTGTCTCTTTATTTAGGTGGTGACCAAAGCATTTCATGGAGCAGGCCTAGTTGTTCCGGTAGACAAAAATGATGTCGGATACAGAGAACTTCCCGAAACAAATGGTAAATACCTTGTTTACTATATTCTGCTTTATTTCAATAAACAACCTTCAGTGACACAGCTACTCTGCAAAAACCAAACTGCTTTCATATTTCCTACTTGAAGAATATAAGCGGTGGGAGTAAAAGGCAGAAGTCTTAACCATCACACTTGAGCTCGAAGTATTTTCTTTAAATGAACCGGATGAGAATCGATGAAACATGCTAAATCTGAAATAACTCCCGAAGCAGTAGTTTAGATGGCCCTCTCTTTTGTATTGGCACAGCCATGCAGGAAGTAGATCCAAAGAACTGATCTGTATTCAGGGGTTTGTGGGTTTCTTTCTTATCGCTCCTCTCCTCCCAGCGTTCTAACCAGAACCAGTTTCTTGATGCAAGTTCCCCACACAAATGCTTGTCTCTATATGGGGAACTGAGACGGATGGGCATGGGGCAAGAATGAGCAGCGAAGGAGAGGGGGAAGCTTTTTGACCAGCATCTCGGGGTGTGCCCACTTAGTCTTCATGTAAGCGTGACACACGGGTATGTTTTTGCTACAAACTACTTGTGTGTAGCATTAAATTTCTTTATTTAAACATCTAAGTATTTCTGCTTTTCTTTTTTGCAGCTAATCTTAAAAAAATTTGTAAGGCCATTGTTGATGCTCCTACTGATGATGAGCGATTGAAGGCCTTTGCACCCATTCAAGAAATGCTCACCTTTGTTCAGTTTGCTAATGATGAATGTGACTATGGAATGGGATATGAGCTGGGTATGGACCTGTTTTGCTATGGATCACATGTGAGTACTACAACAGTCATACTTCACAAAATTATGCATTAATTTTATGCATGGACTGGGAGTTGTTCTGTGTCATAGATCTTTATTCCCCACTCTATTGCATAATTATCCCTAGGAATCACGAAAGTCTACAAGAATATTCTTAATTTGTGAAGACTGTTAAAAAGTCACCCTTAGGACACCAGTCCATGTTGAATTTAAAATCGCTTGTATGAAAGCGCAATCCTGCAATCCAGAAGCATTTAAACAGCACGTAACTGTTGTGATTTGGTGTGTATAATACAAGGAGCTGTCATTAGGCTCCTAAAAATGCAGAATGTCTGATCCAGCTATACTGAGCAGCTGTAGCCCCCTATCCCCAACTCTTGTATGGGTGTGAGCGCTCATGTGCACCTGGATCAAGAAACAGACTGATGTTTGTAGTAACCCCAGCAAAAAAAAAAAAAATTGGAACCTAAGTCAGTTGCCTACCTGTACCTGCCTGTATGGCTGTGTAAAACACCTCCCACCAGCTAGCTGCATCTCTTAAGTTTATAGTATCTCTCTGGTTCTGTATTAACAAAGAATGTCATAAATAAGCCGATTGACTTACTAGCACTTAATCACATGTAGAGATTCTACTTAACACTTTTTGTTCTGTATTAGCCACTGCCCCACTGATGAAAAGGGTCATGTCTGTAATAAATCTGTGGCTAGGAAACAACATACAAAGAAGCTTCAACATAAGTGTAATATGAACGGACGGTTACAAAAACCGTGTGAAGTAGTTTTAGTAAAAACAGTATTGGAGAAGGGGTGCTCCAAAGCATCGTGTGAATGCAATACTAAATGTAGGCCCAGAAAAGTTGTGCTAAACTCCAGTGAAAATATTTAGCCACTGAAATGAAGGAAAATTCACTGCTCTGTCCATACACTGTTAAATTACTGATGTGTTTCTTAGGTGTCCTGCCCTGCTCTTGTCGGTTCCCTACAGCATCTGAGAATGTGTTGTATTTTCCTCTGATATCCTGCTTATTTAGGACCCTTCCTTCAGTGACTATGCTGCTTCAGCTGCTTAAGTCCTTCCTACATTTGGAAGGGCTGTGAAGGAAACGCTTACTTCCAGCTGACTGTGTAGGTGGGGGCAAACCCCCATCTTTCATGCTTTGTGCTTCTCAGCACATGAGATGAACCACCGACCAAACCAGTGCAGTGAATAATGATGTTTTTACAGCCTCGTGACGTGGCCCGATACCCATCTTATGCAGCAGTTTGAAACAGCTGCAATTTTGCAGCTGTTTTCTGAAAATAGAAACCTTACTTCATTTTCTAGTTTAGTAAACAGAAAGGAAAAACAAAGGCTTTGCACGCAAATAACACCCCGGTTTGGTGCCAGCATTTTTGCCTGTCTGTCTGTAGATGCTTAGAGCCGCTTAACGGTTCTGACTAGTGCTCTGTGTACAGAGCCGGAAGAAACACCGACACTTCGGCTGTAGCCCGAGACACAGAAAATGACTTAAACCTCTTCCCCTTCACAGGAGAGGTGTAACGGGCTTGCATGTACAGCAAAGATAACAAATGCTAAATACGCTCCGAGTTTTGTCCGTGTGAATCACTTCAACGGTTACTCTCGGTACCTGTGATCCCCGCGGGCTGTGGAGTGTGACAGGAGATGGGACTCCAGCCGCAGGCTGGGCGACTCCACGCCTTAGCAATAGTTACCATCATCTCTTGCATTGTGAAAAACAGGTTTCCATCTGTCGCTGCCAGGGCTCGGGTAACCCAGCCTGACCTTGCCGTGGCTGTTACAGGCGTACGCGCTCAGTCCTTTCAGGGGCGGCTGAAGGAAGCTGCTCAAGTACGGCAGAGCCCAGAGGTCGGGCTGCTCTGGCTGTGTAAACAGAGCCACTGACCCCCGGGGCTGCTCTCGTTTTCCCTCTCGCCTGCAGTACTTCCACAAGACGGTGGGCCAGCTGCTGCCTCTGGCTTACGCCCTGCTGAAGAGGAACCGCTTCGCCGAGATCATCGAGTCGCACTTGGCCAACCGGCGGGAGGAGAAGGTGGACCAGCTGGCGCCCTGAGCCGGGCAGCGGGGCCCCCAAGGTGGGCGGCAGCAGGGCGGGCGTCCCTGCGTTCCCGGGCGCGGGGTTTTCTTCCTGTTCGTGTGTCTCTGTCTGTGTGTCTGTACCCCGCGGGGGTCTCCCCTGCGGTCAGTAAAGCTTTTCTAACGGCGGAGGC